ACTTTCTCATCTGTTCTTATTAATTCAACTATGACATCTTTAGGAATGATCTGGTTGGGCCTTCTATGTTCTTTCTTTAGCTATCTTTAATTTTTTTAGTCTTTTTAGTATTTGGCCTAATATGTTTCTATATCTAATATTTGCTTTTGTGTCTTTATTATATTTTCAAATTTTTTTTTTTGGTCTTTTTTTTTTCTGGTCTATACTTGTTGAATTTTTTTTTTCATTTCTTTTGTTCTAATAGCTTTCATTTTCTTGTTTATTTCTTTTATTATTCAGTCTTGTGCTACATTTATTCTTCTTCATATACTTTTTTGGATCTGTATGCTCTTCTTCTAAGTTGAGATCTTTTATTTCTTCTTTCTTTTGTATGTTTTGTATCTTGTTGTTGCTTTTATAAAATTGTTTGTCTAATCTTTTTGATTCAACTTTCCAGAACATTAAGACTCCATTGTACCAGACCTTTTTTTTAGTAGTTATATTCATATCTTCCTGACTTTTAAATGATACTACTGCATAATTTCTCAGTCTTTCTCATCTGTTTGATAGAATGTATACTGCTATTGCCTTTCTGATTTTAAGTTCTCATAGTAGAATTAGTTCAAAAATTCTCTTTAATATTCCTATCAGTCTTGCTGTAAATTGATTTCTTTCTTCTTTCTTTACCTCTTCTTTTTTACTTATTGTTATTTTTGCTAACTTTTTATTTCTTAAAGGAATTATCTATGGGAATGCTTGTTCTTCTTCTCTTTTTACTTTTATTACTGTAGTTGTTCTGTATGCACTTCTTTAGATTCTGCATTCTATTACTTTATCTATCTTTCTTACTAGGCACTTAATTTCATACTCTGTTATCATTATGCCAACTTCAAATATCCATATCTTAGCAACCACTGAACCGATTTTAGCATTTTGACCTTCTTTAGGACCGGAAGGCCTCTCTCTACATCTTATTCTTATGTGACAAAACCTGTTGTCATAGTAAATTAAAGAGTTATTTGCTTTTCTTTGGCAGGTCCTATACTATTAATGCTATTGTGTTTTTTTTATTTTTTTTGTCTATATCTTTTTTTTCTTGGTTTAGTAAATTGTCTTCTGTTCTTTTAGCTTCTTCTTTATTCTTCTTTTTTTCTGTTAGCTTATCTTTCTGCTTTAACTTTTTACTCTTTTTAATCTCCTCTTCCTCTGATTCATCTATATTTGGAATCATTTTAAACCAATCATTATGTTTCTTTTGGATTTTGTTAATTGCTTCTTCTTTGCAGTATTTGCAGTCAAATATGACAATAATTCAAGCACTTTCTCTCTTAAACATTTCTTTGACCTCTTTAACATGTTTGTTAGATATTAGCAATCTTTTAACAAACTTTGTTCTTTTTTCTTGTGAACTATCTGATATATTGTATGCTAGTATTTTTGCTGCATACATTCTTTCATTACTGCATTCTCTGTTTGAGAGTAACCAGATGCTTCATTCTAATAGTTCTTTTATAGTATTATCTTTGTTTTTCTATTATTCAGTTTTATAGATTCTATTTTTTTCATTTCTCTCAGTTTTTTCTTAGTTTCTAATTGTCATAATGATGTCTTTATAGTTTTCTTACATTATGTCTATTTTCAATATTCTTATTTCTTCTTCTATATAGTTGTCTATTTTTGTTTCTTTAATCATCATACTTGTTGTCTCTGTATTTGGAGCTTCTTTGCTTTTGTTTCTTTTTTGTTTCTTTTTCTCTTCTAAACTTGTATTTTGTTGTAGTTCTTTTTAATTTATTATTATATTTACTGCTTCTGTTTTTTGTCTTATTTTCTCTATATACAATTCTGATGTATTGATTTCATCTTTTGATACTGTTTGGACTTTTTTGCTTCTCATATTTTGTATTGCTAGTGGGTGTTGGCTTATGCAATTTATCTTTTCTGCTTATTTTTCTATGCTTGTTAGGTCTCTCATATCTACTTTAATTATTGTTTTATATATTTTTCTTAGTATTACTGTTTCTATTAAATCTGTTTTCCATAGTGCTACTATTACTATATCTCTTATATTAAAATTGTTATCTCTATTTGCTAGTTCTTGCTCTAATTCTTTGCTGCCTATGAGCTTTAGTTTTGCCTCTGCTTTTTCACTTACCAATTTTAGTATTATTGACTCTTCTGCTTTTGCTTATATCATCTGTAGCTGTGTTCTTTGCTGCTTTGTTTACAATTATATATATTCTGTAATACTTATATGTTTATTCTGTTTATATTTGTACATGCCTGTTTGTTTGTCTTTTCACATGCTTACATGTTTTAAACAGATCTGCGATTTCAGGTCTAAGCTATTTCTCTAAAATTTTTGCTTTTTGAGGTTTATTTGGCAAGTTTTGTCTTTTCTTTACTTGCTTTTTGGCTTGTTTTTTTTTATTGCTTTACTTGTTAGTTCTATTTCTAAAGTTCTTTCTTTTTTGTTAAGTCTTTGAGTACAGTTTTGATAGTGGTTTTCTTGTTAGTCTTGATTTTTGTTTCTGCAAGTTTTGTATTTTAGTGATCATACTATTGTTTTTATGTTTGCAACCTCTGTATTTTTCTAATATTCTTTTTTATTTTTTTGGTTGGTAAATTTCCTTTTAGTGTTTGACTTGTACTAATTTAGGTGTTTTAGCTATTATTCTTTTCTACTAATACTTCTTCTTCTTCATAGAATAATATATTGTTCATAACTATTCAATTTTTCTGTCTTGCATTATCTAATAGTTCTTCTACTTGTACTTTAATTTTTCTTTTGTTTGGAGCTGCAATTCTAAATTCTGGCTTTACTATTCTGCAACTTGACTCTTCTATCATTTTCATTTCTAGAACTTTGAACCATTTTGCTGGTCTACCTTTGGCATTGCCTCTTTTAGGAAACTTAATTGTTGTCATATAATCATTTTGTTTTCTTCTTTGTTTATTAATTGATGCACAAACATAATACCTAACTCTTTTAATTTATGTGCAACAATTAGTATAAAATTTCTTTCTAAAATTTTATATATTCTTGTGTTTTTCTTATTAAAATTTGGGCTTTCATAATTAAAGTTCAAAACTAATTGTAGTTCTTTTGCTTTTAGCATTATTAAACATAACAAATTGTTTTTTCATAGCTTTGCACTTGCTCTTAGAATATTTTCTTATTACATGTTTTTAGATACTTTTATTAAATGAAAACTATCTTTTATTCTTATATTGGTTACTGCTTCTTTTGAATCTGTTGTATTAAGTTGATTATGCAAACTAGCAGTAACTGGTCCCATAGTAAGTTAAGATTACCCAAGTTTCTGTAATACATTATGCTATTTCTTACAGATTATATAATTTTTATTTTTCTTTTTGCCAGATCAATTATTAATGTATGTATATTAATTAGTATGTTTTTAATAATCTTGTTGTTTGTAGCATGTAGGTTAACTTGGGTATGATGCACATGTTGTTAATATATAATATTTGGCTGATCATTAGCTTTTTTGGATTTAAACCTCTTACAAATGTTCTTACTATTTCTTTAGCTCTTGACTTTATTATTGATTCTTTAAATTTACAATTTAGCCAAATTCCTAGAAATCATATAATTTTATTTTCATTCTTCTTTTGAATTTACTCTTTGCCAAAAAAGATTGTTTTATTTTTCTTTTCTTTTTTGGTGTTTATTGTAATAAATTTGGTTTTTTTTCTATTAATTTATATATTATTTAAGTTAAAGAAATCTTTTGCTATTTTGATAATTTTTTCTATTTGCTTTTTATTTGATGCAAACATGTTGTATTATCTGCATATACTACTACAGCTTGTTTTCATATTTTAATTTTTTGTATCATAGTCTTTATACTATTATTATATGAAGTGCACAATGTATAGTCTAGACTTGGATCACTTTGAATTCTTTCTAATAATGAGTCGTAGAATATTCTCTAAACTAAAGATGAGATTACTTTATCTTGTTTGTTATCATCTTTAATCTCAAAGGCTTCTGTTGTTTCTAAGTCTGTAATGATTTTTGATTGTCGATTTTCAAACAAATTTAAAATAAAGGTACTTGCTGTTTTTGGTATTTTGAGTTTTTTAAATTCCAAATCTAATGCCACTAATAATACTAAATCAAGGCCTTTTTCATATCTTGAAATACTAGTTAAAGTTCTTTTTTGTTATCTTTTATATCTTCCATTATTGTACAGTCAACTCTCACAATAGTTACACTCACATTAGTCACAATCACACTATAGTCACATAAAGTTACAGATTCAAAAATTTTCTAATAAAATTTTCTCTTAATAGTCACATATAATATTAGATTTCATAATAATCACTATCACATTAACTTCATATACGAAACTTATACTAATATTGTAAAAAATTACCTGCTATAATCACATCACTACTTGTGCAACCTAAAAATTTAAAAATCGTAATGCAAATTCAAAAAAATAAATGATTCATTATATTAATACATAGTGATTGTGATAGTAATTTACACAATTAGCTTAGTTACAATGTTACTGTAAACTACTGACTCATGTATAAAGTTAGTATGTAGTAAATTTGTTATACAATATGAGATTACCTGTATCTAATTAGTTAAATAGGAATGCTGTCTCTTGATTCTTACTAGACTGTTATCAATTTAAATGCTCTATTAACTGTAATTTAAAGACAAACTATGACTCTACTAATAAGAATAAGATTCATTACCTAAATAGTACCTCTGCCAATATGCTCAAAGATGCTAACTAAAAAAGTACATAAATTAAAATAGAGTAAATGGCAATCTATAAAATTAAAATAGGAAAAACCTGGTCCTAGTTATGTTGATACATATTAAAATAGAAGTTGAAATCCATAAGCTGTTCAAGTTTATTAGTAAAAGAAAATTAAATACTTTATCAAAAAAAGCAAAATAGAATAGAATACTTTTCATTGCATTAAATTAGTTATTGATTAAAGGATAGATTAGATAAAAGATAGAAACTTGTTAAAAAAAAATGTATTTAAATCTAAAAATTAATAAAAATTATAAGAATTTCTTGAGCGTTAGTTCAAATATTTTTGTCAAATTATAATTATTTTTTTCTTTGGATTAATAACAGTATGTTTAAAGATAATAAAAATAAAACCAAAAAGCATACTAGACTTACAGCTATACAAAAAAAAGAAATTCAAGAAAAAAAAAAAGCAAACCTTAGCTTGCTAGATGAAGAAATTGCTATAGAGTTTAATTGTGACAGAAGCACAGTATCAAAAATACTTAAACAAAAGCAATGGTCTAATGTAAAGGAAATTTTGCCGAATTCAAATGTGCTTAAAATAGTTGGCCCTAAATTTCCTCAAGTTGAAAAAGCTCTTGAAATGTGGGTTGGTACTGCTGAACAGCAACAGCTCACACTTATTGGTGATGTAATTCGTCAAAAGGCCCTTCAATTTGCAAAATTATTAAATGTTTCAGAGGATGAATTTAAGGCATCTCAAGGATGGCTTATACGATTTAAAGTTAGAATAGGTCTTCAAAATCATCATATTCATGGAGAGGCAGGAAGTGCTCTTATTAATCTTCTTCCACAATTTTGAGAGGAGCTTCAAAATATTTTGGAAGGTTATGAACCATATAATATTTTCAATACTGATGAATGCAGTTTATATTACTGTATAGATCCTAGTTTTTCTCTTTCAACAGTTGCACAAAAGGGTAAAAAAAGGACAAAACAAGAATTACTGTTCTGTGTACAGCTAATATGAGTGGAACAGAAAAAATTACTTCTTTAGTAATCAATAAATCTAAAATGCCAAATGCATTTCATGAAGCATGTATTACTTCCTACAATCAACTACTTGTTGATTATCATTATAATGAAAAGGCATGGATGCGTCAGAACATATTTAAGGTTTATATAATCATTTAATTAAATTTATATCAAATTACTTACTATTAATATTTAAATTAATTTTATGTTCTTAAAAAAGCTTTTAAGTTATTAATATATATCAGTTAAATATCATAGCTGAAGCTAGAAATTTTAATTATTTTAATATAAAATTTTCAAAAATTTTTATGCTAGAGTTTAAAGTTAGTTTGAGTAACAAAAGAGTATAAGTAGATTTTGGCAAGGTTTATATTTTTAAATTGAGGTCTTTAATTTCTAGCTTCAGCTATGATATTAAATTACTTACTATTATTATTTCTATTATTATTATTATTAGAAATTTCTTGATGGTCTTCAAAATAGGTTTAGAATTCAAGAAAGAAAAATTTTACTGCTTGTTGACAATGCTACCTCACATGCTATCAACAATTCCAAAGAGTATCCAAATATTTGTTTACATTTTCTCTCTGCCAATACTACTGTGCACTTGCAGCCAATAGATGCTGGCATTATCAATGCATTCAAAGCTCATTATAAATGCCTCTATATACATTAAGTGATTAATGATTTTGATGAAGGTGTTGAAAAACCAGAAAAAATTGATGTCCTTCAGGCAATGAGACTAGTAAAAAGTGTGTGGGATGAAATAAGTAAGAAGACTATTATGAATTGCTGGCGCCATACCAGAATATTGCCCTTTAGGCATCTCGCTGAAATTTTTCCAGAAGTAGAGTTAGCAGCTAATGAAGACTTAGTGATTTAAGAAGTTCATATTTCTGAAATTGTTACTGCACAATGTGAGGCCCAAGAAATAATTAACCTAACTGATAGCTCTAATATCCAACAACTTGCACAGGATTATCTTGATAACGATGAATTTATTGCTACTGAGGAGGTGATAGATAATAACTGAATCATAAAATTGATTAGTAATTCAGATGTTGAAGAAAATAATGATAAACCAGTAGAAGAAGAAGAACCTAGGATTACCTTTACTGAAGTCAAAAAAAATATCTATTTACTTCTCAAGTTTATTCACCAACAATCTCTGCAGTCTGATAGCTTTATCAAAGAAACTGATAAAACTTTTTTTTATAACTTTCTTTCATGAACCCATAGAGCTTCTACAAGATTGATGAAACAAGGTACACTTGAAGATTTTTTAACCTCCAAATAAACCTGAAAATATTAGAAAAAAACAGTAGGTAACTAAAAATAGCTGTGACTAAATAAAAAAAGTTTTAATTCATTTAGTCATAGACTAATTTAATTAAAATCTATTTGATCATAGCAACAGGTTAATCCCAATCATAGTGGTAAGTAATCCTATTAAATTCTTCTATTTTATTATAAATTAATATTAGGTTATTTGGGTTAAAGCAATCTGTAATTTGGCTACATAGTAGTTATTTAGATCTATGAGTAGTTTTCTAATAATGCAATTTTAAATCTGCGAGTAGTTCTTCATATCACCTTTTTTTAAACCATGTTTCTCCACTACCATTATGCTATTTCTACTTCGCTCAGAGCTGCTTATTCAGAAGCCTTAAGTTTAAAATTAAGATCAAACATTGCTTAAAAGAATTTTTTTATAAAATGCAAAAAGCAACTTTTATTTCTTATCATTACATTACATCTTTATTTCTTATTATTACATTACATTCTATTATAAAAATTTGATTGGTTACCAATAGCAAAATTGCATAAAGTTAAATAGCAAAACTGAAATTCATAAATAGCATGAAACTTTATTATAAAACCCAATCCTTTAGAGATTGTACCTATTGGGAAAACCTCAACCTGTTTATTATTAAATTACCCAGATATCTGGATAAATTACTAAGTCACATAACAGCAATTTTAACTTGAATACAATCGCTACAACTCCTAATCTCTATTTATTATAAAGTTTTATTATTAGAATCTATAGGCCATTTATTTGATTCTAATTATAAAATAAATAGTTTTTTATAGTTGTTTTATATTAGTCACACTCTCGCTATAGTTATATGAATTGCCAGATTTTATGATATGACTATTGCGGGAGTCAACTGTATTAATAATATGTACTGGCTCTTTTGTTGACCCACCTGGCAGTCCTGCAAGATTTGGTCCTTTTAATATATTTTTTCACAAAATATTTGCATCAATCTTTTAGTAAATATTTTGATTATACATTTTTGTAAGGTTTTTAGCAATACTATTAGCCTTATATTGCTTAAATTATATTGCCAATCTAAGTCTTTTGGTATTGGATAAATTTACAACATCTTCTATTTTTTGGAAATTAACTCTGTTTTAATGCATATTTATGTTAGCTTTCTAAAAATTTTTTGGATCTGATTGCTAGCTGCCTTAATTAGCATATAAATAATTTTTGACACATCTGGGGCTGTATTATTTTTAAGTTCTAATAACATTTCTAGCTATTCTTCTTTTGTGATATTCTAATTTAGCTGTTTATATCAAATTTTATTAATTTCTTCTTTTGGCTAATATATATTCTCTTACCTGTTTCTAATCTTATGGCTTTGAAAGTTTCATATTCTGAATTGTTGCTAGAAATGCTTTTTGGTCTTTTCAAACATCTTTTGTAGATTCATTATCAGCTTTCTATTCAAGTCCTTTAGCTCGACAAGTTTGTCTATTCTTATTTTATTTAATAGTTTGTTTAATAGACTTATTAACTACTTGTCATTGATTATTTGATATTTTTTTTCAATGTTTTGCTCTATTTCTTTTAGCCTTTGTTTTTCTATTTCTTTTGCTCTTCTTTTATACAAAATCTTTTACCAGCCATGTATATTAGAGATTATTTCTTCTGTTTATATCTCTGTAATTTTTTCTATACTAGTTTTATATTGCTTATTTAAATATTCTGCTATAATATTAAAATCTTTTATATTTTTAAAAATCAAATCTAATTTAACATTTTTTTTCCCTAAGCTAATCTATCTTTCTAGCTATGATAATGCTTTAGTCAGTTCAGATTTCTTTGCTTTATTGTTTTTTTTTGTTTTTAGTAGTATTTAGAATTTTTTTTTTGATAATGTCTTTCTTGCTATTTCTAATATATTTTTACTTATAACTTCCTATATTTCATTTAAATTTTTTTTAAACTTTTTGGTATATTCCAACCTACATTTTTCTATTCTTTGTGCTAGATTTTTATTTTTAAGCATCCTGTCTAACTCTTCTTTATATTTTTTTTAATTTTTTTTTGCTGCTTTTTTATATAAAAACATTGTTTGATATTGTTCTAAGTTTTTGAGTTTTGACACTTTATGCTATGCAGTTATGTAATTTAATTTCAATCTTGCAACTGCTGCACCATGGTCACTATTTGTGCAATTGAACATATCTTGAATCTCTGCATTGATGAGTTCACTTGCAAGCTCTTCTGTTATTTAAATTTGATCGATTCTTGTACTGGATTCTCTATTCATCTATGAAAATTCTTTACTTCTTAGATTTCATATTCTAAAAGAATCTTTGAAATTTTGACCAATTAGCTATTTTATAATCAGTTCTTTTTTAAAAGAACTATATTTTAAAATGCTAGATTTATTTAGCTTTGAATTAACAATGCAGTTTAAATCATCTATAATTACTATTTGTGTCTGGTAAGTTCTTTTAATATATCTTTCTATAATGCCCTTTGGATTCTTTTCCGTTCTTCTTTATTGTTAGGTGGCATATATATTATTATAACTATAAGTTTTAGTTGTTTGAATATGAAGTTTGCTACTATTATATATTTACTGACTCTATCTATTTGCCCAAGATGTCTTTCTTATCTTTCTTCTACTAGTATTCTAATACCTGAGCCTTTCTTTTTTGTTGTATTTGAATCTAATTAGAAACTTTTATATTTGTTCAGATCTTTTGCAATGAAGAAACCTTCTTTTTTGCTAATATTTGTTTCTATCAGACCTAGTATATCAATCTTATTGTTCAAAACCTATTCATATATTAATTCTATTCTGTGACTATTTCTTTTCATTTTATTAATATTATGACATGCAATGTTTAGTTTCAAGTTGCTTTTTCTAATCAACTTTATTAATAATGCTTCTTTGTATATTAATTCTTAGTTAGAGAGAACTTTTTTAATATTTTTTATTATTTTTAAAGCATCTATTCTTTTTGTACCCTGGTTTTTTGATTTAACTAAAGCATTTTTTAGGAGCTATAGGCAGGATTTATCTGCCTATTGTCCAAACTGTTAAGTTTCTTTAATATTTTTTACAAAATGTTTGATGCTTTTCAATTTATTGTATAATTAATGTTTCTTCTTTTTGTTCTGTACTGTTTCTTGTTCCTTCTTTTTATTTTCTTTTTTTCCTTTTATTTAATTTAGGGTTAATTATTTGTGGCTTTTTGTTACCAAAGTTATAGATATCTTGATAAAAACTTAGTCTTCTTTTTTGTTTTTATTATAATACACTTCTGTGTTTTCTTGTTTGGTTTACTTGACTTTATTTATTTTTTTTTTAATACTTATTTTTCTTTGTATCAAGACAACTTGTTATAATAATAAAAAGCATTTTTTTCCTTTGCTTTTTGGCAATCTTCTTTAGATTCAAAGTATGCAAAGGCTATACTTCTTTTGTTACCATTACTATTGTTTAGTATAAATAATGTCTTAACTCCTAAAGGTCTTAGTTGTCTTAACAAGATTGACTCTAATGCTAATTTTGAAATATCTTATAATGCTGCTTTGTGTTTTCTTCTTTTTTCAAGTATTTCCAAATCGAATCTTTTTAGTATAATTTTATACATTGATCCTTTTTCAAAATGCACTGACTAGCTTGAAGCTAGTAGGTTTATTCTTTGCTAATTCTAATCTGTAATTTGAACTAATGCAGCTTTGTCTTTTTTAGAATTCTCCATTCGAGTATTCTTGTTTTTTCATAAAAACTTAAACAACATATTATACTTTCATATTTTGCATCTTTTGGCAAGTCTCAAATTATTAACATTACTGTTAGATTATTTCTTTTCTTGGGTTGTTCATTTTGTTTTTGTTCTTGCTTTAGCACCTCTTTTTGTTCTGAGATTTTTAATCTGTTTTTAGTAAACTATATAGAGTTACTTATATCTTTAGATGCCCATCTTGATGCATGGATGTCTCCTTGGAATCTGCTTTCTGAATTTTTTCTTTCTTCTACTAATGTACTCTTCTTTGTTCTATTGTTGTATCTTAAAAATATTAGTCTTTTTGACTTCTTTGTCTTTGAATCATATATACTACATTCTGTCATTAATAGTGCTATTTTATTTTTAATATTTGCTTTATTTGAATTTTCAAGCATTTCTTTTTCTATTTTATTTAATAAAACCTCTGCTTGTTTGTTAGCTTTGTCATTTCTTTTTTTATTTACTATTTCTGTTTCTTCTTTTAAGTGCCTTTGTTTAAGACTGCTTTCTTGAATTATTAACTGTATTATTAGTGCTTTTAGCTCTATTTTGTTTTTGTTTTGCTGAAATTTGCTTTCTACTACCTTGTTGTTTGATTTTTTTTCTTTTTTCTTATTGGAGCTATTGAATTTTTTTTCTACTGTTATTTTTTTTCTTTTTATACAAGTTTCTTGACCTACTAGTTGTGACATTGATGATTCAAACTTCATTCTTGTTTCTATATTTTGTACCTCTTCTTTACTATCGTATATTACATCTTGCATATTGTTTTTATTTTCTTTTCTTTCTTGGTTAATTAAAACCTTTTTCTTCATTGTTGTAATCTTTTTCTTAGCAATATTTTTGCACACTTTTTTATATTTGTCTACTAAGACTCTTATAATATATACCTGTACTGTGTTACTTGCATCTAAGAAGTTTGCTATATCTATATCTATTTTTGCAATATGTTCTTTTTACTTGTTTAAGCAGACATGCTTTTTTGATATTGTTTTTTGGTTTAGATTATACAAATCTTTAATTTTTGCTATTGCTATTTTTGTTATTAGTTGTTTGTTTAACTTAAATTTAACTTTGTTCTAGAACTTTTTAAACTAATTACTAAACTAATAACTATGCATACTCTTGTTTGCAGTACCTTATTTAGTAGTTACATTCTGTATTGGTTGAGTGTTTGAACACATGTTATTTTGTTTACCTGTTTGTTTATCCTAATTTATATGATTGTTTACTATATAATTTGTTTACATATTGATCAATTAGCTTTTCAGGATTACAACTAGTTTTTAATTTTATTAAAAATTTTTTAAAAATTTTTGAAAAGCCTTTTGATATTTTAAATGAGCAGCTTCTTTAAGAAGTTGTTCTAATAAACTTATACTGTTTTTGAGTTTCTTTTCTTTTTCTTTAGTAGCAAAAAATCTGTTTCTTAGAGTAGTTTTTAAGTAAACTTTGATGTATTCTTTTTCTATTTTTGTAAAATTGTGATCAGCAGAAAGAGTTGTGTCATTTTTATAATTAGAATATTATTTTATTAAAAAGCTTTGAATAAAATAATAATTACAAAAGGCTTTTTATATATATAAAAAAAATTTCAAAAATTAATGTTTTTTTTAATTAAAGTTCTTATCTTTAAAAAATAATATTTTATTTAAGTTTTTATAAAACATGGATGCCTTTAAAAGCTTTCTTATATTAAAAATTATAACTAGTTGCATATGCACTTTTGATATCTAATTTAAGTAGTCTATTTATCTATTACTATGCAGATTCTATACTAAATATTATATTTGTAACTCAACTATAAGTTTTGTTTATTTAAACCTTCTGTATATGCAATCCTTTTGTATTACAAAAACATCTTTAGAGCATTGTTCTTTCAAGTTTCTAATATTTATTATAGGGATGTTATCCTGCTTTATCGAACACAGTTCAATTCTGTTTGAAACTAAACTCAATGAAACTCGAGTTTTTGTGAGCACATGATTTTTATTATTAAATTTAAACTTCTCATATTCAAAATAAGTTTAAAATCAATTAAATAAACAAAATGCTTAATAGACTTTTTAATTACTATTATTATGATGAAAAATCTGCATTATATTTACATTAATATGACAAAATTAGCTCTAACTCATTTTTAATAAAAGTTAATTTAATAGTATAATAAGATGATAATTAGTTTTTTTTTTTTTTAATATAAATATGTGTTTTTTTTTTGAATTTTACTATTCAATGAATAAAGAAAATACATTTGAATAATTTAATCTAACTGAATCTACCTTTTCAAATCTGATATTTCAAAATGTATTCAAGTCTAAAACACTAGCAAAAATAATGAACTGTTCTTCAAAGTGATTAAAAAAGAACTTTTTCTAGGATGAACTTATTGAAACTAGTGATAAACAACATTGCAAACTTTGCAATCAATTCTATTCAGTAGAAATAGGTTTCTCAAATATTAAATTTCATTTTAAGCTTAACTATTTAAAAAGATAAAATGAACTTATGATAGCTATTAAGAGAAATATTAAACTTTATAGTGCCAATAAGGTTCTATAAATTAACCAGTATCTTCTTAAATAGATTATCACAGATCAACAAGCTTTTTCTCTTGTTAAAAATAAGGATTTTTAACAATTTATTAACAAATTAACATCACAATATTACCTTTCATTAAGACAATTTATTTCACAAAGCATTTTAAAACTATATTATGATAAGCAAGACAAACTTTGCAATTTTTTTAACACAAGTCAACAAAAATTTATAATTACAACAGATGTTTGAACTTCTTGTACTAATTTTGAATTTCTTGCTATTACTGTTCATTGGATTGATGAAACCTGGATTATAAAATGAATTTTATTAGGTATAATACTACTTTATGAAAGACATATTAGCAATTACATAACTGAAAAAATCTTGAATGTAATTTCATTTTACAATATTAGTTCTTGAATCATTTCAGCAACTACTGATAATGCAACTAGTATAAAGATATTTGAACATATATTTTGTAAAAAGCTTTGCTATAAATACAGTAACAAGGACTTTGAACATATCTGCTGTATGGCTCATATATTGAAACTTGCAATTTCTGAAGACATAAAAGTTGTAATTAATTTAATCATGAAGTTGTGAAACTTTATAAGCTATATATATAAATTTCAACCTTTGTCTAAGGAGCTTAAAGGGGTTTTTAAAGCAAATAAAAAGTCTTTTCTTATATCTGACTTGGATGTACTGATGAAATAGAACAGTACATATAATATAATAGTAAAAATATTTCAAATTTGTCAAATGACTAATAACCTTGATAAGGATAATTCTGCTTTAAGGAACTAGTATTTAAGTGAAGCTAAATAGTATGAAGTTGAGGTTAGCATTTTAGTTTGCATATTTTAAAATTCAATAAATTAATTTACTTATCTGTTTTTAAGCTATTGCTATATTACTTGAGCCTATAGCAAGAGCAATGCCAATTTTATCATCATCAACTTGTCCTACAATAGGAGATTTGCACATGATATTTTTTATGATTTTAAATATTTTATGTGGTGCATTAGATAATAAAATTTAAATAAATCAAATTATGCAATAAATGTTTAAAAAACTTAACAATTATTGGACCATTCTCTGAACTTGTTGCAGCATGTTAGTCACATTAGATCCAAATATAAAATTATCTTTGTTTGATAGTGAAAAGATAATAATTATGCATAAGCTACTATATAGCATTTATGCACAGTATAAAAAATTTGGTACACTTATAACTGAAGATGTTAATAATTCATCAAGGAATTACTTTAGAAAATATTATAATAAAAAGTTGAACACTATTAATGTTCTTGAAGAATATCTTTTGACTATTAAAAAAAATTGTAATCTTTTGGACTTCAGAAAAATACAATCTGCCAATATACATTATTCTGGGTTCTCAAAATAGCATATAATTACTTGATCATACAAGCAACAAGCATACCAAGTGAAGAAATATTTTCAAAGGCAAAGAATACAATTGACCTAATACATAATTGATTGTTTGAAGAAAATGCTTTTGCAAGTTTTTGCTTAAAGACCTAGTACAAAGCTGATATTATTGACTGTAATGAAGGTTAATAAATTAGGTATAATAAAATTGTGTAGGTCAATAATTAAATAATAGCAATAGATGCAATAAATATTATCATACAAAATTATATATATTCAAATATATTTGCTTTAATAAATTAGCATGTTTTATTAAATTGCTTAAGCAAGCATAATTATTAATATGTATATATAAACTAAATTTACAAACTGATTTTATATATATGCTATGAAACAGTATTCCAACAGGTTTTTGAGCATAAACTAACTTGATAAAGCAGGATAACATCTCTAGTTTATTAGTATCTTTAGAACTACTTTATTCTTAACAAGAAACTTATATATTCTATATATAGCTAATTTAGTTTTATATAACATGCTGTTATCCCTTAAACTGTCTCATTTTAGCAGGCAAATTTGCCTGCTAAAATTATTAAAAAAAATTTTATAAGTTAAAAAAAAAATTTTATGTGAATCTTTATTAAAATCGTCTAAAATAACGCCCAAAGGCTCGGATAACATGGTGAACTACAAAGTTCGAACATGGCATATGTTATGCAACAACAACAAATAACACAAGTTCAGGTTACACAAAACATGAGGCATCAACATCACGAATTTTTTTTTGTAATCAAAATTTTTGGGTCTTTCGAGCTGATTTAAGTACTACATGCTTAAGCAAAATTAATGATGCAGTCATGATCTTTACAATTTGCATTAATATTACTTAAAATCAGGATATAGGTGATACTAAATCGAATTTTCAAGATTACCAATTTTTTAGGATTTCATCTATCAAAATTAATATTTTTGATCATGTGATATTTAGTGACATCATGGTATTAATTGATAAATTAAAAATATCAGATATGTAATATGCATAAATTAAGGCACTGTTAAATAAATAAATAAAATTTTTTTAAAAAATTATTATTTGCTTCGCTCATTGCCGCTTCGCACACCCAACCACTCACCTAAGCTAATGTAGTACTGGCCCTTAAAGCCAGTTCGCCCATCCACCCAGCTAATGCTAGCTTTGGCTCCTAAGGCCACTTCACTTACCTACCTACCCATTGACATTGCTTTTAGTTTTCAAGATAAAATCCAAGAAAGCAATTTCGAGTTTTATTACAACAAAGAGGCACATTGCATGATAAATACCAAACCTGGCTTTGGTGTAGTGTTTTGCAATCCATATCCAATTCATTCTTACTTGCCAGTCAAACACACCAATGGCATGTTTCTCATTGGTCCTTTCATATGACCAAATGGTTTCCGGGCACCAACTATTGATCTGAGAGCTTAAAATTTTTTGTAACTTTGGGTTTTTTTATTTTTCAATTTGAACTACTTCTTAATTGAAGTTCACATGAATCGTTCACAAGCTCAATAAGATTTCAAACAAGTTTATTACAGAACTCTTTATGTTCTTGCATCGATCCTAAAATTTTAGTAATTAGGTATGCATTAATAATAGCGATGTCTAAGCCAAAAAAAAAAGGCATCCAATTGCATCACACAGTTTGCTGAGTGTCATAATAGGATCGCAATTGGTCGGCAACATCCACACTGTTCATGTTATGATTGTAGTCATCAATTACTTTTGGAATTTTTAATTTTTTTTTTGGCTCAGAGCCAAATACTGCTCGAACCTTTGCTGTGTTGGTACTTGTTTCTCTTGGTCACCACCTTTCTTGTTCAATTTCACATTTTTCACCCACAAGACTGTGAATAGTTGATAGCATTGTGACTGGCCCATTGTCTTGCCAAAAAATAGCCAATGCACCATTTACTTCAACACCAGAACGGACGTCCCAATCTAATTTAGCACCTTTATCTACTTTTAATTCCTTTGGAAATCTAGCTACCGTTTTTCGAACAGTTCCACAAGCTCCAACGCTGATTTGTCGAAGATGCTGAAAGAGAGGAACACTGGTAAAATAATTGTTTATGTATATATTGTAAGAATACTGTTTGTATGGAAGTTGTTCAACAAGGTGAAGAACTTGAGACCCAACTTTAGTAAGACTATTCACTTTTGCAACATTACTTGAGGCGATGTATGATGTTGGTAGAAAAGTGTATGTGTACCCGGATTCGCAAAGAGAAAAAATCTTGAAACCTTCCAGAACTGGCTTATTTTTCATTCGCACTGTATGGATACTTTTTTCAGAAAATCGTATTATCATTTTATCTACTGAAACATTTGATTCTGGTGTGTAGTACTGTTTCGAAGCCTCACAAATGTGGGAAAGTAGTAGTTCTACTTTATTAAAATAATTTTTTAATATAGATGTGAGGGCGGAAGAGGAGACATGAAAAAACCTCTTTATTGATTCAAAGCATTTGAATATCATTTGCTTTGAAATTTGATGAATCAGGAGCCTTGGATCTTCATTCCAATATTGGTTATGGGATGGCAACTTGAAAAGTCCTGATAAATAACCAAGGCAACCCAAACAAGAAGCTCGTTGCAGGTTATATCTTCCCATTGTCTATCAGTAACCCCTGCACCTTTTGTTGAAGCGTATTCATTCATATTTGCAACTATCATGTCCATCATGGACATAGTAAAAAAAAGTAAAAAAAAATCAATTGGTCTGAAAACACCAACTTCAATATATGGTGGCAACTAAACACTCACACGACGCAAAGGACTTGGGTGAACCAATGGTTCAAAGGTAGGTGGTGGTGCTAGTTGGAGGGCTTGTTTACGTTTTCTCTTAGGGACACTTGTGTCTGCAGCATTTTCATCCTTATTCTCATTATCTGAATCTGAGTCATTTAAAAAATATTGACAAAATGTTAAAATTGGTACATATTCATTATTATCGTCATACATCTCTATATTTTCCAAAAGAGATGACAACGAACTTGCAAACGACAAATTTGTAAAAGGCGAAGTCTTAGACATAATGATAGTTTTTTTTTTTTTGTTTTTTGCAATTTTATGTATGGTGGGATTTATCAAGTTGCTTAAACATTGCAATAAAATGAAAAGCCGATTGGTGGTACAACTTGAAAGAGCTTTTCACCTGTTCCCAATTTAGCACAGTATCATTAATATTAAAGTTTAAGCAATTATTATTCATAAGTGCGTGAAAATATAATGGTTAATAGGCTAGTCTTTATTTGTAATACAAGAAAAGCGAAACTCAAATATGTAAAGTAGGCAAGAAAAGGTTCTTTATTTAGTAATATAGTTGAGCCAAAAAAGGAATTGTTATGTGATCGTACAATTGTTCCAAAAAGGGATCTATTTTTTAAAGCGATTACTAACTCCTTTTATAGTCTTTCTATTAGACTCAAATTAGCTATTGCGCAAAAATGTGATCATCGATTTTTAACTTGAAAAATGCTGCAATCAGTTTTAATTACAAAATGATCTACATACCATTTAATTTATTATGACATTTTTTGTAACATTGGTTGTATAGCAAACTTTAATTTTAGCTTAATAATATAGAGGGACAAGCTTAGTAAAATTAGGCACAATTACATAAAAACTAATATAAAAAAATTTTAGCAGGCAAATTTGCCCGCTAGACGGTTTAAAGGATAGGTAAAAGCCTTCTTAATTTTATATTATAACAATAACATAGTATAGGGAATCCCTTATAGGTATATGCAGTGTCCAAGAGAAAAGTATAGCTTCTGTTAAATATTGTCAAAAATCTATACTTTTCTTTAAGACAGTTCAGAAAAGGTAATATAATACTAATAACTTTACTTTATTTTACTAAAAGAGGATAAACTTTGTCTGTAGAAATTGCCCTAGAAGGGAAATATCAATACAGTTTATAGTCAAAAGCTGTTTATTAAAGTAATAATGAGAAAGACTATTTTTAGGTTTCTGTTTCTAAAGAATTTCAAGATGTGTTTACAATATTAAAAAAAAGAGTAATATCTGTTGCTTAATCATACTTGGAGAATTTAGTAGAGTTTATATATCTGTAAACTAAGTGGCTAAGTAGCCAAGTAACTAAGTGACTAAACAACTAAGCACTAAGTGATTAAGCAACTAAGTAACTAAGTGACTAAGTGATTACTAAGTGACTAAAAGGTTCTAGCAACTAATGACTAATGATTACTAAGCAACTAATTACTAAGCAACTAAGTGACTAAGTAACTAAATGACTAAGTAACTAAGTGACTAAGTAACTAAGTGACTAAGTGATTACTAATTAACCAAAAAGTTTTAGCAACTACTAGTAATAATAATAATAATATAATAATAAAATATCTAATAATAAATAATAATAATATACAACTCTTTTCAACAATCATTCAAACCAAACTTTTCAAAAAGTCAAACTACAGAAAAATGATATAGTTAATATATTAAACTTTATAAATCTTTTTCAGAATACTGTACATGCATAGTTAAACATTGAAATAGAGTTGAAAAAGATGTTGCAGCTTTGTGGTAATAGTTTAAATACACTTTAGGACTATAAAAGAAGTAGTTGATAAAAGCCAAAGTTTTTTATAAAGTAAACAACAAAGTTGAATATATTAGTTCTATACAACTATAAAACCTACAAGGAACACCTATAAAGATCAAGAACTTACAAAAGCTACAAAGTTGATTTACTTCTTGCCTTTATTTTGCTTTGAGGAAATTTTGTAAAAGTGGATGATTTAGTTATCCCTTCCTAAAGATCAATACATAAAACTACCAAAACAGTTAACAGTGTTTACTTTTTAAACAGGTTTGTTAATAACATAAATCAAAACCAAACAGTAATATAAACATAACTATACTCATGCCTTAAAATACTAAAAACTCAAAAATACTGCCTTCAAACTAATTAGTACTTTATACTGACCTTCTATAATCAAGTCAAAGATTTTTTTTCTATATAGTTTTTTGTTAAATAATCTAAGTAAATAGAAAAATAGTAGAGTTATTTCTATTTAGTATAGTTTATAATTTTTAAAGACCCAACACAGATATATAATTGTAACTATCTGATATTTGTAAATTGCAAGTTTCACATATTTTCTTTTTTCTTGTTTATTCACTTTCCTCTTTTATTTCTTAATTTATATCTTTTATCATTTATCTCTATATCTTTGTTTTGTTTTTTACAAAAAATTTTTTTTTTGTTTTTTGCTTTCCTATAAAAAGATGTTATCAGATTAGTGATGTCCTATTGTAGAGTAGCAGTCAGACAAACAGTTTATCTCTAACTAGGATAGTGCAGCAGGTCATACTTAGATACCATTTGGATAGTTGAGTAATGCTAGACTTATATATTAGAAAAATTCTATGTAATCTGTATAGTTTCAAGAATTCTAATAAAGTACTAGTGTGACTGCTAAAGTTAAAAAAAAAAATAAAAAAAATAAATAATAATAATAAAATAATAATAATAACTAATAATAATAAAATAATAATAATTCATTTTATAATATTTCTGTTCTTTTTAAAAATTTACTTTATAAATTCTATGTTCTAATTAATTCAAGAAGTTGGATATACTCATCATTCAGCAACTTGATAATATACATTGTGGTCATATGCTTCAACTATAAGGTTATTTCTTTTAGTCATAATTCAAGGACTTTATATATTCTAAAAACATCTTCTAAGTATCTTTTACTCTTCTTATTATTTAAATATTCTAGATAAGGTCTTTAATCTCAGAAGAATTATTGGACTTAGAGATTATTTGTTCTAAGTAATAATAAGCTTCAATTTTCTTGTTGAGGTTATGTTAAATATGTTCAGAAGTGGATAAGAACTTTAAGATTCGATTAACTTATTTTTTTCAAGTTCTTTCAGAAAAAAGATTGTTTATACTTTGAATTGTTAGTACTGGTGTCTGTTTCAAATCATTTATTATTTAAGTTAAATAATTAGTATTATTAATTTCCAACTCAAGAGATGCTTCATTAAGTGGAGTTTCAATTAGTGAAGGTTGTATTTCTTCTAGTTATAGAAATTCATTAATATTGAATTCTATAGAGGCTTCTATTATAAGGTTTAAGTTGATAACTTTTTCTGGTTCTTTATTATTTCAAAGAATAATATTTTGAGATGATATATCTAAGTATTTTTGAGATGTGAGGTCCTGTTTTCAAATTTGGAGAAAATTGTTTAAAATGATTACTGTTTTTAATTATAATTTTAAGAATTTTATTTTTAGAAAAATTTATATGATTTAAGGATAAAGGGTATATAGATTATTTTTATATAGTTTTATATAGTATTTTGAAATTTTTATATAAAATTAAAAATATACTACTTATAAAACTTTTTTAAATTAGGGGTGTGGTGACCTAGTGAAGTGGTTAGGTTGTCAACCTCCAAGTGGCAGGTCCAGAGTTCAAATCCCAGTGTCGATAAAAAATTTGAAAATCTTCCCTGTGTTATAGTTAACTGTCTTTCACAATTGGTTAAGATAAGACACTTGTAATCTATATCATATCAGCATGACTGACAGGTCACATGGCATTTGTGTAACAGTTATATGACATTGTCCTTTGGGACAAGGTCTGTGGTTACATAAAGAAATGCAAACTAGTACTGGGCAGTACAAACCTACAATAAGTCCTCGTGGCCATGTAAATCATAAGAACCAATAGAAAAAAGATGGTGTTAACATTAAGAGTTTTACACATTTTTGATCATAACTTTTGATGTACCAAACCAATTTGGATGAAACAACCACCA